GGGAGAGGGAGAAGCAGGCTTCCCGCTGAGCAGAGAGCCCGATGTGGGGCTCGATCCCAGGATCCCGGGATCATGACCTGAGCCGAAGGCAGATGCTTAATGACTGAGCCGCGCAGGCACCCCCCTCATGGCATTGTTTAACATGCTCCTCTATCCTTGGTATTTCTTATAAATTGGTAGTTGGTATCTAGAGGCTTGATCAGATTGAGGAAGGTCTTTGTTTTTGTTTCTGTTTGTTGAGATATTGAGATGAAACATTGAGGTGTCTTTTTATGATGTTAGCAAGTATTGTTCAATTGATCTGTTAATCCATTAAGGATTACAAATGATACCCTATTTCTTCTTCCTTTATTAGCCAAAATATTTTTATGAAGAAAAACTTCCCTTTAACTACCATTTGGTTACCCATGTTATAGTAAGGAAAGGCAAGATAAATGCTTCTTTCTTTCTCTTTATTGGTTTTCAAAATAATGAGTTGGTTCCCTTGCATTCGGCCATGATAACTTACAAGTTTAGGGGTGTGTAGCATATTTATTTAAATACAATTTGGTTGTACTCTCATTGATGCTCAAATTGTTCCATGTTTGGGATGTGGAGCCTCTTCCAGCTGGCTTCTTTGTCCTTTGGTATGACCCCTTTAGTCTTTGATCACTTGCTTGCTGTCTGCCACAAGATGTACCAGGCTCTCCTTGTTCATTTCCTACCTCCCACCTTGAAGTAGCCATTTTCCAAGGAGTCGTGGGTTTTTTGGTTTGGTTTTTTTTTTTTTTTTTTGGTATTTTGGTACAGTCCCAAATGGTATATAGAAACCACAAATCACGAGGAGTGCTTCATTCTCTGGTTGGTGATTTTTATTTTTATTTTTTTATTTTATTTTTTTTAAAGATTTTATTTATTTATTTGACAGAGAGATAGACAGAAGAGCACAAGCAGAGGGAGTGGCAGAGGGAGAGGGAGAAGCAGGCTCTGCACTGAGCAGGGAACCCGATGCGGGACTCAATCCCAGGACCCTGAGATCATGACCTGAGCTGAAGGCAGACGCTTAACCATCTGAGCCACCCAGGCGCCCTCTGGTTGGTGATTTTTAGATAGCTGTTTTAATCACATTGCTCAAGTGCCTTCAGGAAGATTATGCATCTGTGCATCTGCCCACACAGTAGAGAGATCCCAAAACACCACATTCATCTAATCCTGCAGAAAACACTTACTTTAAATGTAGACCATTCAATGGGTGAAAAATGGAAAAGTTACTTTTGATTTCACTTGCATTCCTTTGACTATGATTACGATAGATGACCATTTGTTCACATACTTCTTGACCATTGGTATTGCTTGTAGCATGGTGCCTAAAACATAGTAGCTGCTGAATAAATATTTGTTAATGGAATAAATTAATTGTATGTTCATATCCTTTGCTCATT